AAATACTAGAAAAGATAGTAAATTAAGTGAGATGTCATAGATAAGAGATCAGAAAGAAGGGTATAAGTTTGTACTTTGATGGCAACTCTGAAGAGAAATATCCCCCATGATCAGACAATACAATCACTGTTATTATATATGTATATGTGTATATATTTAACATTGATAATATATATTACTGCGAACAATCCAAATCATGGTGTTTGAAAAACTTGAGCACTCTTCCAAATTTCTCTCTCTCTCTCTCTGTGAGTGTGTGTGTGTGTGTGTGTGTGTGTGTGTGTGTATGTGAGGGCTTTGTCACGCGACTGGAAATTAACCTGTTGGACACACAGACACAGACACGCTTCATGGCTGGCGATAAGGCTCTCCGGGTATGACATGTATTAATAAGCTAATAGTTTGGCGTTGTTCTGTGCCCAACGCTTGGACTATCGAACTTTAAACCTACGTTGCGGGAACCACTTTTATAAGCACGCGGATCCCTTTAAGAATAGTATTTGAAATGCACCTACTCCATAGCTACATTGAAGGCTGACGATGCGTATGCGCAATTCGATAATTGGACACACATTGCGTATACGCAATGTACATATTGACAGCCATACAATATATACACTTGCCATTCGAAACGGAAATATGGTTTTGTGTACGAATACGCGCAGCAGTCAATAGAGGAGCCGCTCTTAGTCCACGTGAGCTGATACAAGTAAATCCAAATATGTTCAAGTGGAGCATCTTATTCAATTTACTCTATGCTATGTTGGTGATGATTTGACTAGTCACTAGTCGCACCATAACAGCATGTTAATTTATATTAATAGTGATTATGATTATGAGCCAGTTGGGCATACCAGTACTGCCAGTATGCTTGTATTCAAGTTGCAACGGTGAACGCACGAATGTCTGCTATCCACCTCAGATGAAATGAGTAAATGATGATGATAGGAATTACAGGAGAATCTTAGCATGGATTATCATTTAGTATATAGCAAAGTCTATTACCGCTGATTGTTGGCGATAATGCTGATTATGAGGATTGTGTTCTAGTCGACCCTTTGTACCACAACCGAAAGTCTAATTGGATTCTTCTGTTGGATTAACGTGCTTGAGGTGCTTGTTCAACACGGCGTATGCGAGATGCTACTGGGCAATATATATTTTGCATGGATTGGTAAAGTAATTAAAATTTCGTAGAAATCAAATTTACGTGAATTAGTTGCGAGCTATTGTTGTTGCTTGCAATGGCCGTGTGAGAAAAAATGTTTATGTTTATATTTGTAAAATAAATAACACATGATATTATTCATATACCATTTTAGTATGCACTTTAAATGCAAATTTAAATGTAAACTAAAGAAAATTGCATTAAAGAAACTTGGAATATTTTTGTATTTAAGTCTGAATTTGAATGCACAGAAAGTTATGCACAACTCAATTTAAGTCAACACATCGGAGTCAATAAAACTCTGAACAAATTAATTAAAAATTATCGAAATACATTCTGCACTTAAGAGCATAATAAATAAAATCGATAAATATAAACTATTTTCCAGCACGAAGAATATGGCCTTTTGCCAGAACGCTTCTGCTGCCGAAACCTGTGTGTTTTCATAAAAAGCTTGTTTACTATTCGTGTATTTGAGCTTTGGCAAATTATTTTTCATTCAGTTTTAAATTTTTTATATATTCACTTAATAATAGAGACAATCGGGTTCATAAAACGAACACGTAAATATTCTATTTTATTAGCCTCGATTTTGGTTTTCATTTATATACATTGCTATTTGTTTATATGGCTCGACAGATATGGGGCGTGGTGCATGTGGGCTTGCATGAAAATTATGTGCGGTGCGCTTTGACTAATTAGGAAGGAAGGCATTTTGCCTCTACTCAGAAGAATAATAAATAATGGACGAATGTATGTATAGAAAAAGTGTTTTCTTACGTTTTCTTCAAAAGAAGTGAACGATATTTATCAGTTCTACCGCGTGTTTGTTTAGATTAAATGTATCTGTGTGTGTGTGAGTGAATGCGCATGTGTTGAGTTGTAAATAAATTATTATTGCCAACGCTTAATATTAATATATAATATGCTTTTAAGCAGCTCTCCACACATACACACACATGCACACACACATTCACAAAGACAGAGACATAGACAGACTTTAGTTGTATTTAAGGTAGCTGCCAAAAGCGATAATTAATGGAACACACACACACATATGTAAAAAAATGGCGTCGCGTTGCTTATCACTCGAAGTACTCATTGCTTAATTTGTCCACACAAAAAGAACTAAACAGAGCAACAAAAACAAATCGAATCAAATATAAAGAATATGATGAGCGGGCACAGTAGTCGGAGTTCGCCGTAGAGACAATAATAATAGTAGCTTGAGAGGGGGGGGCGACCAGAGTGGGATGGAGAGAGGGGGCAGGGGAGCCGAGTCGGGAAGCGATGTGCGGACACAGTTCAAAGGTGCGTCCAGGCACGCACTGTCCACAAAGAAAATGCCAATCAGTTGTACCTGGCCACAGAGACGCCAATCAAATCAAAAGCAACTCTAGCAACCCACACACACACACACGCACACACACTCTTGCATATAGTCACATTGAGTCGTTTGACTCGAGTTCAGAGTCAAGTCAAAATTTATTGCGCGGTCGAAAGAAATTGAATCACAATTTCGAAGATTGATGAGAGACCTATGCGACCTGTTCAGTTCAGTTCAGTTTAGTTGAGTTGAGTTCAGTTCAGTTCACAATGAGCGATCTGAACAATTTATCCCATTCTGAGAGTCAACAAAGAAATCCTAGGGGATCTATCCACACATGTACGTATATACTCATACACACACACATATACAAATGTATATATCTGTCAAGATTAAATATTGCTTTGATTTATGTCATACAAATTGAATGTGGGCAAGGGCATTTTAGTTTTAATAGACCGCGATTAGATTGGCATCGATCTCTCGAGAGTCAAATTGGAATCAGAGTTTATAAAAGAGAATAATTCGTTCCAGTCGATTGAGAGTCTCTCCCAATGAACCATGATAGTCTTAAAGATCATTTCGTGTTTGTATTACTCTTTCAATACAATTAATATAACTGCAATATTTAAGTACAGAGCAGCTTCAACTATGAATCCATTATTTATTCCCAGACATGTATTTCATAAAATATTGAATGTCAATTGACATATCACTTTTTGCTATAGCTGTAGAGTTTAAAGAAGTTCGTCTAGCCGAAGCTAAACATTATTTCTAGCTCGACATTTTTTATTTTCTATTAGTATTGCTATCTAATCAAGGCCGAAACGTCTGCGGCCTGCCATGATTCCATTTAAACACATTCAAAGCCAAAAGAATTGCTGCAGTCAAGAGGCAAATGCTTTGTGAAATATATTATACTACTACTACTATATTACATATGCGTATATACATATCTATAAAGTATATATGAACCAATACATCTGCATAAATCTAAGCTCAAGCAGTCGCTGACAATGTTAAGTTCAAATTCGGATTGAATTAAACTTTACAAAATTAAATGAAAATGGAAGTGGAATTTGTGTACTTACCACATTTGATGCTGCCAGCTAAGGCCCACTCTAGTGCTACCAGCTCGTGTCCACTCTAGAGCTGTGTAAATTTGCCTTTAAAATTGTTTTATTTTTTTTTATTTTTGGTATTTGTGATTTTAATACAGCAAATCTATTTGAACTCAACTCTCTTTGGAGTTAGCAGAGTATTTGGGCATTAGGGTTTGTTGGCACAAGGCTAACACACACGGACACGCACACAGGCATACTCACAAGTACACACACACACACGCTCACGTACGTATCTATTTGTATTTGTATTTATATTTGTTTACCGTTTTACAGCACTTATCCATTTAACTAGTTTGAACAGCAAATAGAATAGAAAGGCAAAACAGATCAGACTTTTGCTTTCAATTCAAATCACTTAAATGATATACATAAATATTTCGGTATTTTATTCAAATTTGTATTTGTATTATTTATATAGAATTGAAAGACTTCAATTTGAAATTTTGTGATTTTCACTCGAAATAGTTTTTAGCATTTCGATTAAAATTTATGATTTTTCCAAAAACTGCTTATGCAAATGTGTCTAAAATGTGTCAAACCCACGCACGCACACACACACACTTGCTATGCAAATAATATATTATTTCATAGTTGACTTCACACAATTTTCCACACTTTTTCCATTGCCATTTACATTTCAATTATCAAATTTTTCTCTTTAAACTCTTGAATCACTTTTCGTTGCTTTCACTTTTTAAAATTTGGCTGTCTCGCGCGCCAATTTTCGCAGCATTAACTTTAATTTGATAACGGTATCTGTTGTCTTTTTTTAAATTTTTTTCTTGCGAACCGACCGACCCGAACAGAGCAGAGCAAAGCAGAGACGTGGAAGCAACAAGCGTTTGTGCCGCAATGATAAAAGTTTGTTAACTGTGAAGTTTGTTGCCTCAGTTGCTTTTCGGTAGCGGCGAGAGCTTTCATGCGAAAGCTCTCCATTGCGCGTCGATGCGTTCTGATAAGGCAGCGACTCTGCTAGACTGAGCGCCGAGTAGGTACAGAAAGCTATTCAAATGAAGTTTCTGAACTCTGCAAATCGTTGCCCCCACAGTGTTTCGTTTACCTCTGATGCACAGTACAGTGAAGCTTAGCTAAATGGTCATACAAAGCTAAGCTATATTTGAATTGTTGTAGGAAAGTTTGAGTCGATGTCTACGTAAACCTAACCAACTATACCATACACTGCAGTACAGTAATGCCTAACTAACTGAGAATCTAGTTGAAGCAGTTGGAAGTTAAGTAGGTGTGGTAGATACTAAATAATAGAGAGCAGAAACTATATATTGTAGTACAGAATCTTACTCCAGCTATCATTCATAATAGGTTCTCATAGACTTTCACCTTTGTCTTACGGACCGATGGATAGGTGAAGTGAAGCAAGCCAGGCTATAAGCCTCAGATACATTTGTTTCTGTTTGCGTCACCCAACTTTATTCATTTCAGTTCTCATTTCATTCTACATTTTGGTACAGAAAAAAAAAATAATCGTTCTATAAACAAAATATATATGAATCAGTTCGAACATAAATATATATATACAAAAATTTGGTAGACATAGGCAAATCAGATAGCGGCATCGAGGATAACATGATGAGCTTCACCTACAAGGACCTGATCGACGTGGCCATCGGCTCGCCGGAGTCGGGCCACGTCAACTTCTATGCGCTGCACGTGCTGCTCTCCAATTTCGCACAAAAGTTGGAGCTGCTGGACGAGACGGTGGAGCAGGACGACTACCTGCTGGCCAATATGAGATTTCAGAGCAGCCTAAGTGAGTGCATCCGCGTGCTGCAGCTAATCTCTGTCTCTATAGCTGTGGCTTGTCTTCCTTTGCAGTCGGCAAATCGTCCAGGTATCGTCTGCATGCTGGCGAAGATGAAGATCCCGCCACTGAGGCGCCGTCGGAGCCTGCTCCAGCTGAAGCAGCTGCGCCGCCAGAGGAGGCGCCAGCAGAGGCCGCGCCTGCGCCGGCAGAGGCGCCGGCAGCGGAGGCGCCTGCAGCAGAGCCGCCTGCCGAGGAAGCCGTTGCGGAACCTTCACAGCCAGCAGAGGAGTCGGCGGCCGCACCCCCTCCTGCACCCGAGCCTGCAGCCCCTGCGCCAGAGGAGGCGGCGCCGCAGGATCTGGAACCGGCTCCAGCACCGTCTCCAGGCTTGGCGTCGCGCAACTCGTCGCGCACCTCGAGGGCAGACAGGACGCAGCCACGTGCCGAGGGCTCGGTAATCGGCTCGCTGGCCAAGCTGGAGCGCCGCCTCTCCAAGATGGAGTTGCAGAAGGAGCAGAACGATATTGAGTTCCAGAACTTCGCGGGTATCCTGTCGGGCCAGCTAAAGCTAACCATGGAGCAGCTGAATAACATGACCCATCTAATGCTCGATCGGAAACCCAATCCGAATCGGATGAAGCTGCTCCGGAACATAGCGCGCCAGCTGCGCGTCCTGATGCGCGCGAATGACGATGAGGTGTCCATCAGCTGGAGCAGCGACGAGGCGGTGGTCGAGGCCGAGGAGGAAATGGCTGATGAGGAGGAGGAGGCAGCCATGGAGGAGTCCAGCGCCCCCACCGAGCTGGCCAAAGTGGAGGAGGAACTGGAGCTCGACCAGCACCTCTGCTATGCACCCGAACGAATGCTCAATGAGCTGCTAGAGCTCAAGTCCGAGTTCTGCTCCCTCACCAACAAGGTGAACGAACTGGCCGCCGAGCTAATGAAGCAGGACGCCAAGCGGCTGATGGAAATGATGCAGGAGATGCAGGTGACTGTGCGAGAGATCAAGCTGTCGGCGAGCAGCAACCAGGAGGCCAATCAGGGCATGCTCACCAAGCTCACTGCGGCCACGAATCAGATACAAACACTGAAGAACTCGGTGGCTCACCTGGATGAGATTAAGATCGACAAGGCCGACGTGGAGCTGCTGCTGGCCGAGAAGGTCGACTTCCCGCAGCTGGCCACAAAGGTCTCCCTGGAGCAGCTGGAGGAGTACAAGGAGCGGCTGGAGAAGCAGTTCTGCGAGGTGCGCTACGTCATCAATGTGAACGAGAAGAATGTGCTGCAGATCATCGACGGTTTGCGCATGACCCTGGGCGTCGACGCACTGGAGCTCAGTCTCAAGGACTTCCGCGAGCTCATCGAGAAGCGCGTCGCTCTCATCGCCGAGGCGCTGCACAAGTACATGGAGATGACCAACGACGAGTGCGCTGCTGCGGCTGGCCGGGTCAAGGTGATGCAGGAGCTCGCCTGCCTCTCCTGCGACACGCCCTGCGTGATGCGCACCGTGGAGCGCTCCAAGCTGCCGCGGCCTGCCTCAGCCAAGGCCACCAACAGCATTGGCCCCATCGTCACCTACGAGCTGGGTCAGATCCGCAAGTCCGGCATCATGGGCTACTACCGCAAGGACGAGTTCCCGCATGCCACCAATGCCTGGACGAACTCTGTGCCGGTCAATAAGTGCGTGCCGCGCCACGCCGGGGGCATGCACACCATCCACACCGCCGACGAGCACATGCAGAAGGTGGTGCTCTCCAAGCGGAACACGGGCTGGGTCTAGCCGTCCGCCTGCGTATCCAAGTTTCATCATTCCCCAATAACACAACAAGCCCAAAAACAAGAAAAAATCCACACAAAAAAAAATAATATATTTAAATTATGTTAAAGAAGAGACCAAGTATGATCAGGTATATGGTGCAGACCACAGACCACAGAGTGGAGCGGGGCACAGCTGCCCAGACAGCAACCTGACCGAGAGCCAGAAAAAAAAAAAAAAAACAATCACAAAAATTATAAAATAACAATTTGATTAATTGTTTGACTCACATAAAAAATTTCACAATTAAAATTAATTGTTAGAATTAAAATTCGATGCGGATTTATTTTAGTGAAATTTTAAAACCAATCTATAAAAAAAAACTGCTATGTAACTGTTATGTAGCCTTTGGTAGATGGCTTAACGTAACATAATTTTTATTACATATAGAAACGTATTTTGTAAATTTTTTTACAATTATGTTAGGCATTTAACATTGAATTTAATGTTCGCCTAAGAGTATGCAATTAATTAGTTTATTGTATCTTTATAAGCATGCATTAGCATTTTTGTTTATCAATGTAATATATACATATGGTAATGTAATATATATACATTCACTTGTATTTTTAAATTACAAGAATTCTTATGAGCCAATCAAAATTGTGCCTACGTAACAGTCGCGTCCCCATGCCCATACTCTAGCACAGACACAAACCATCGTTCAGCTTTATGGCATGCAGGCAAAAACAGCCCTGTGTATTGAATAAAACAAATACACTGAGGAAAACAGAAACAGATAAATTAAATAAATTTACCAGAAAACAAGTACACTGAACGAATTATGCACTTCGTAAATATGGTTAAAATCAGTTAATTATTTTCTTGATAGTCAGTTATCAATTTAAATACATTTAATATATTTATATAATCACTAATTATATTATATTGTCAATGTTAGACCTAAATTTTAAGACATCATTGTTGCTCTATATTCCCGCTCGCGTGCATCGCATTTATTGATTGCACGCTCGCTTATTCTCTTTCTCTCTCTCTCTTTTCCTTCTCTCTGTGCAACCACTTGCAAGCAGCGGTTGTTGAGAGCGCCGCTGTCTGTCGGCTGCGCGCGGTGTTGAGGCGCTTCACGGCGAACAGTCTCTCTTCGAGCGCGCAGACGAGTGGTTGGTTGGTTGTTTCCCAGTGTGTGTCGTGTCGTGTCTTGTGTCGCTTCGTGTGTTTTGTGAGCGAATAAGTAAGAAACCAGCTGTAGCTGTGGCTTTGGCTAGGGGCAATATTATTTACTAGCTCTGGAACAAGTTCTTACGATCGCCAAATCGAATCAGTTATTAAATGTTAACCATAGGCGACGGCGCGCATTTGCGGTTTATCTATTGTGCTCGCCCCTGTCGCGCGCCTCTTGTATTTTTCCTTTCGTAGTTTCGGCGAAATTCCAATAAACATTTCCGCAACTCCTCCGATTGGCACAATAATTTATTTATTGATTTGATTAATGCAAATAAACAAAGGCGGTATTTGTTTTATTTCTCGAATTTTGTTTTTTGGCAATGTCAGCTGAAAAGAATTGGAAAGCATAAAGCGTGCAGCCAAACATAAAAGCAAAAGCAAACACAAAATTTTTGGTAACGTGACGCAGCCGTAAGCAAAACAAACGCAAAACACAGAAACAAAAAAAGGGCTTCTGGAATATCTATACGTATTTGTGTACCTCTTTGTGTGTGTGCCTGTGATTGTGTGTGCGTCTGCTCAACGTGATCTTCAACCTCCGCTTTGGCCACTGCTTCGTTACCTGAGTTGCGCGAGTCGCATTCAGCCGGCAATTACCCGACAGCCTTACGTTATTTCCGCAACTCTCACTCTCCCGCTCTCTACGTTCGCTGAGCAAAACAAAAACGCAAAAAATGGCCATGCAAAGAGAGGCGGGTGTGCAGGACTTTGTCCTGTTGGACCAAGTCACCATGGAGAAGTTCATGGACAACTTGCGCAAACGGTAAGTACGAATTGTATTTTGTTGTTGTTTTGTTTTGCTTCTGTGTGGCCTTTCGTCTGCCGTCAAGGTTAGTCTGACTGGCAGTCCAATCAGACAGCAGCTTCTGCTGCATGTTCTAGTTGAGAGCGTGCTCAATGGAGCTAACTTCAAGCTGTTGACCCACTGTCATTTGGCTACTGCTTCCCATTGTGTCCATTCCATGAACCGTAACGAAATGCTCCCATTATGGTGTGTTAGCAAAGTGACTTAATGAAGTGTTGGTTAAGCTGTTGAAATACTTAATTAAGTTCTAAGTTTCTTATGCGGAGCCCCTACTTTCACTGATCCATCTCAGTCAAACAGGCGATTAAGTAAAAAGTATTTCTAGTAGACGAATGTGTTTCTATCTCTTTCACAATATATTTTTATTAAATTATGCTAATGCAATTAAACGTGTTTCAGATTAAATGCTTGCTCTTCTTCTAATTTCGTATCGCACGATTCTCTAATTGTAGAAATGATGCAATTCAATTACGATTCGCAGTGGCTTCATCAAATCCCACACCTTATCGTATATCAGGCAGGAAACATATGTTCTTACGTACATACATACATACCTAATATATTTSTTGATAATTTCATTAAAGTTTACTGAGTAATTGTTGCCAGCGTGAGAGTGACTCAGTGCTTAGATGCAGATTCCCTTCCCAGTTGAAATGGAATGAATGAATCGATTATAGTCAAAAAATCTAAACTAAATTAATCAATTTACCTTATGCTAAGTATTGCGGCTATTATCATTATCATTGTCATCGTTAATCATTAATGGCTCATCGTGAAAAGCGAGGCTGCCTAAAGTGCCGCATAATGTGGCACAAAGCGAAGCCCATTTCGTGACGCACTGATAACAAACTAAACAAATAAATACGATTCGCTGTTTGTCCAGCAGTGACAATGCTTATGCTAATGATAATGACGATCATGATGATTACGTCTATGATAATGCCGTTGATAATGAGCATTGTCAACGCAACGAACCACAAACACTCAGCCAAGCGAGGCGTTGCGGCGAATGCAACGACCCATGTTGCATGCCGCCCGCCGCCGTCTGGCGTCGGCCTACCGCAAACGTTGACAATGGATGCCGGGCAACCAGCAACAAGTTGTTGACACACGCTCTTGTTGCATGAAACGGAATACGTTACCAACTAAACGTGGGCTAGAATTGTGACTAGAAGCAGGAGCAACAAGGCGAGCCAGCTAAATAGGGACCAGACAGAAAGCAAATAGGGACAGCAAGCGAGAGTTTGCTGACAGTGACTAGAACAACTTTTCCTGCTTTAGATTTCCCATTTGGCGTTTTTAAAAGACCCAATAAACCCAATAAGCCAGAGCAAAGTATAGAGATAAACCTCTTGAATAATAAAACTTCACTTTAAATATGTTTGAAATATTTGACGATTATTCTAATCAGGAGTAAACGTGGATATACTCTATAATTTGACTGAAACGAAATATTGAAGTGCTCTCGTTTCGATGGCATTTGAAGACTTATCAATACAGTCGCACTCACATCTGGAGTAGCGCTCCATAAACTGTCGATTGCACAACCTGGCCAAAGAGAGCGATAACAACACGTATGCGTACTCACATATGCAGTTGTAGTGGACTCGTAACGTTACACGAATCAATTTGCAGATTACAAAATTACAAGCCGGAAAAACAAAGTAAATAAATGGATATATCATAGACACATACATATGTATATCGCACACATATCAATTTTTGAGGAAAAACCCATTGAGCAAATCAGTTGAGGGTCAGAAGCGCGAGCCAAAAAGCCAAAAAATGTGCAGTGTAATGGAAAATGATGCAAGACAAAGCCAGAAGATACACCGAGAGAAATAAATACCTCACTTTCGTTTTTGTTTTCAATTTGTATTATTTCTTTATAATACGAGATTAACAAAAACGACTACAAAACCAAAACGAAATGAAACGTAATGAATAAGTGAGATACGGCAAAAACTGCATTTTGTATGGCGAGCAGACATGACTTATTCAATTTGTTTCCATTCGCGCGCTTTTCAATCCTAAGTATGTGTGCTATGACATCATGTGGGGCTGTGTACTTGGCTATGTAACGAGGCGAAAGATGAAGCACAAAACATAATGAAAATAAAACAATAATAAAGAATTCCTAGAGTGGTTGAGCAAGCCGAAGTGTAATAACACTTGTGTTGGAAATCGGGAACTCGGCTAACAGCAGAGCAGAGCTTAAATCCTGCTCTTGCACGCCTCAAGACGCCTTCGCTCAGCAGGGAGTGCCGACTTGGAGATACCCTGCATCCTGACCAGAATTTCTACTTCAATTATTCAGGACTTCTTACGTGGTTATATACTTTGCATACTTCTGATATTCATCATATTTTGTTTTTGAAATTTAATAATCTACATGTTGAGTAGAGTCATGGTACATCTAAAGTATCTAGTTTCTATAGACTTAAGTAGTCTTTGTAGTATTATAATTATAATAATGAGCAAAGAAAGTGGAATTAGGATATGGTAAAATCTTTATAAATATGTTAATGCACTTTTGTAATAATGTATTTGTACTTAATCTGAAAACGGCTGTAAAATTTAGTTTATTGATCTGCTTGAAATGCATAATAAAACTTGTTGCTTAGACAATTTGTCAACAATCGTAAAATAATTTTAACAATACTTGGCTAACCTTCGCACAAAGCTCTAATACCCCAGCAAGAGCTGGCAATACAAATACATTTAAATATATATACATATATATTTTTATAGCAACTGCTTTTTTGGCACTGTCATAAGTAAATATATATATGTATGTAGTATACGTGTATGTGAGAGTGCTCTGCCCCTGCCCATGCAACCCGCACAGATATATATAAAAGTGATCCAGAAATAGCTGCTCGACGCGCACAAAATGTATATATCTGCTATATAAA